TTCCAAGTTTACACCAATTAACAAAAGAACACACGGTTTTTTATGTAGTACTATTCCTTATTTGTTTGTCAAGATTGACTAATAAACTGAACATTAAAGAAATTATAAAAGTAAAAAAGTTAAAAGGTTATAGTTTTTAAACAACGATTTAGTTGTTAATCCTGCTGTAGTTCTTATTATTCGAATTATTTGGTTCGTTTGACTTGTATTGTTGGAATAGAAGAAACCTTATCCCACCGATGCTTATGCAAAACCAAGGAGGTTTAAAAGATCTACTATTATGATTACCAACTATAGAAATGGATAATCTAAAATTAATATGCTAATGAACAAAAAACCAATGTTAATGGCTGGCCCCAGTTGTTCCGGCAAAACAAACCTTGTAGAGAAACATAACAAAGGAAAGACAATCTCACTTAAAGGACATTTTTATCTGTTCTATCCAAAGATGAATGAAGAAGATTTTACTTTGGTTTATTTTCCAAACCAAATAGTGTAGATTCAAAAAGTTTGACTGTAGGTATAAAAGAACTTCTTGCAGGAAAAAAAAACTCGAAACATGATACAGTGACTGATTCATATTCAGCAAAGTGAAATGTATGACATGAGAGGGTGGAGGCCAAATCAATCATCGTTGTAGAAGGAAGTCATGTTTTAGCATTTGAGGAAATTAGAAAATTTATTGTGGTGCAGCTGATTACCCCCTGTTTGTTTGAAGAATTAAATATCCTTATTATAAGAAGATGATTGGTGAACCCATAAAGTCTGAAGAAACTATGGGGAAGGATATTCCTGAAGCCTTTTATTTGTAGACAACATAACCAAACCTTTGATTAATAAGAATTTGCCAAACTTCATTGGTTTATATTTTAACAATGAAGAAGAATTCCAAAAGCAATCTCAAAAGAAAATAGTTCATCATCTAAAATGAAATCCTATTAACCCTTGTTGAATTTATACTTTTGGATTAATTACTCCAATTATTCTGTATGGAGGATAATCAGAAGTTATGAAATAGGGAAATAAAAATAAAATAAAATGCAAGACCACATTACATGATACAAATAAATGTCCACCCCTGCCTGCAGTATGCCTCTATGTTAGAAAATTTATTTTTGTCATCGTGGTCCATTTTAAAATGAAGTTTTGTCAGAATATATGATGGTTCTTCACTATCTATAACCAATGTTATTTAAATGTGATTTGACGATATTACCTTGCATCCTGTGTCAGGGTAGAAATGGTACAGAAATTTATTCAACTTTTAAAAAGATTCCTTTCGACATCAACTCTGATAAAATCACGCGTTGAATACTGTGTAAAGTTTCACAACATATAGCCTCAACTATAACCTATAACTACATTAAAAGAAAACTGTTACTAAATTTGGTCATATACTACTTCAAAATATGGTAGCACAAAAATTACTGCATATATTGTATGTGAATTTTTTCAAGCGGGGTCGATCATTATTAAAAAAAACTGAAATATCATGTGACCTGCACTGTAGTAGCGTGTTTCAAAAAAATCAACCCTTTACTTCTTTCTCAAGTAAAAGTGCCGCCAAATCATTTTATTTTAAAAAAGTTACTTCCAAATGGTTAAGTCGTTTGAATTCATGTTTAATTTTTTTTAAAGAATTTCTAAAAAATGATTGGCTAAATTTATGCAGATTTTCATTTTGAAAAAAAAAAGTCTTGGCAAAAGAGCTTTATTTGTAGTATACGTTTTAGGAACAATAATAATAAGGTTTGGGGTAAATAGAGTAAACAAAAAAGAAAACATTAATATACTCAAAGAAGATTTGTGTTCTGTAAAAGACCAGTGATTTTGAGATTCTCTTTTTATAGTATATTAATACGCGATTCTATTAATATTATTATTTCTGCCATTCCATCTTGTTTATTCATTTAATCTAATTAATTATGATTTTTTTCCCATATAATGAATATATATAAATAAAAATCTATTATTCACACAGCAAAAAATAAATAACATGTTCTAAACTAATAATAGTAGAGTGGTTGGTAAAAAAATACTTTTGAGAATACAAGCCCCACCATTTTTGATGTGTTGATTATATTCTGACGGTGCTTACATTCAAGAGAATACGGTATGTTTTTCTTTTTAGAATTACATTGCCGAGGCATTGTTATCATTCACCACATGTAAATGTCCTTGAGGGATGATGTCCTAGAAATCGATTTCCAAATTTAAATTTAAAAATAAAATAACTACTTTCGCATCAACCATCACATCATATTTTATTTATTATTATTTTTTAATTTTTTAATTATTTTATTATTTATTATTATTATTTGTTTAATTGAGAATGGGTAGTTACTAATCTTTGATTGGTCGAGTTTATTTATTTGAGATTTAATTATGTGATTCGTTAGAGGTGTGTTTGTTTGTATAAAGGGATTTATTTAAATTTTAAGGAATAAACTAGCTAGCTATATTATGATTATTGTATATGCGTAATAATAATAATGGCTACACAACATTTGTTTTTAGAAAAATAACCTTAAATTTTTCGTATGTAGCACATTTTTAAATTAATATTAATGTTCGTCAGTGCACTTAGCTAACGCAACTTGGCACGTGTTACAGGTACAAATAGTGATTTTTGGTATTGGCACAAAATTTCAACACTGTACCAATGCTCATATGCCTTTTCCAGCATCAAAATCTTCAATTTCTGGCTCATTTAATGCACAAATGATTATTTAATGCATTGTAGTTTGAGAAAATGTCCATATTAGTGTTACAATAGTTGGACAATTAAAGGAAAAAATCTTCATCTGTATCCAAAACGTGTTTCCATAATCCCACCATTTGTTCACCATACTTGCTAAAAAATTTAAAAAAAAATCAAATCGGCCGTTAGAAGTTGATGGTTTCATAATAAAATAGGTTTTAAAGGAGAAATACTTTCGATTTGTAATGAAAAAATAATAACCCCCTGCAAGTACACTACACACACACCCTAGTCTGTGTGTACATTTAGAGGAGGTGATTTGTATTTAAATCGGAGCCTGTGACTGGACGAGAGAGCATGCATTTAGGGGGTAGGGCGACTGTTAATCATCATCATCAAAAAAAAAAAGCTCTCTTTAAATGATTTTGAAAGAAAGTAAATTTTTTTCATACTGATAAATAATTCTTTTGCATTATTACTACTCGATTCATTTTTCGTTTGGCCAATTAAAACAGTTTCGGAGTTTCGAAATAATAATTTCAGAGTTTTGGAACAATTTAAAAAGTAAAAGGCTCCGATCAGCTTGTTTTTTAACGCGCCGACTGAAATTTTATACAACGATCATGGGCGCTAGTTTAGTTTTCAATTTCACGTTTAACAATGCGTGTATAAAAAAAATTTGATTGAATGATACTTATAAATTCGCCAGTTAACCATACTTGGGATGACTTTGCTAAATTTTTAATTGTGTAACTAAGCTACTTTACAAATAAAACTAACATGTAACGTAACACCCACTTCAATGATGGTCTCGAATGCATCTTTGATATTTTTTATTGTGACTTTATGAATTGTTTGTTAATTTTGTTAATTACTATTTGTTATTTGTTACATCAAAAGAATGTAAAAACTTATTCAAAACAACAATAACTAATGAAATTTGTTAACAGTCATATCGCAAAAAGTGGAATGTCGAGACTTTATTTTTGTGATTAATTAAATTAATTGATTAATATTCCATCAAAAGATAAATTATATAACATTGCAACTTGTAGAAGTGACATGTGATACATTTTCACTCACACTACATATATAAATGTTTTATTTTCTAAAAAAGAATAATTCCAATTATTATTTATTATTCATCAATTCGGTTTTCTTTCTTCTGCCACTAAAAAGTTCGGTCACAATGTGTTCAATGGCTAAATAATAATAACAATAGTTGATCCTGGTGAAAAATTTTTAATTATTCTTGAAAAAAATGAAGAAGGCGTTGTTGAAAGAAATCAAACAAATCAACCTAAAAAAAAAGACTGGTACATCAGAAGCATCCATCAATATTTCATTCGTTCAATGTAAAGAATGTCACTGTTGTTATTTTTTTTTTGTATTAATTTTTAAAATAAAGAAGCTGGCCAACAATTAATTCAATTTGCGATTTCAATGAGCAAATTCAAACACAAAAGAATTTATCGTTAACCAATAAAATCAATTAGTCAGAATAAGGTGTTTTCTTGGCTTTTTATGTACAACGAGATTCTAAATTTGGGGTACTTTTTGTAATGTCAAATAGTTTAAATTAAGGCATATATAATATATGATGAATTTTTGTTAAATTTTTTGAAACACGTAGAAATAAAAAAGGAAATTTGTTCTTGTTAAATTGTCAATATTAAATCGATCATTGCTATAATATAAAATACTAGTATAATATACAAGTGTGTGTGATTGATCTCTCTAAAAGCGAAAAGTTGACCCATTTTTCTTTTAATAGATTTTGATAATAGATTTTGATAATTTATTTTATTCTAAAAATATAAATTCTTACTCTCTTTTTCCTTTTACTACAATTATTCTATTGTTATTTATTTATTTATTATGGTCAGCAAGGTGAATGGACATAACTCCTCTTCCATTTCGATAATAATATTTAAATTAATGTTGTGTGAGGAAATAAATTATTTCCTCTTTTAAAGAAATTAATTTAAAAAAGTTACATTGATATAAAAAATTCATTATTTATTATTGTTATTGTTGTCGATCTTATTTATTACTTATTATTTATTAATGTAATTCCACGGTGATTATCAAGGAATCAAAAGCTTATAAATATACTGAATTTTTTCGTCTAAAAAAAAATTTTTTTTCTAAAAAAAAAATAATAATTAATTAATAATAATAATAATTTATTGAAAAAAGCCCTCCAATATTTTAAAATTTAATAAAATAAATCATATCATAAATCATATCATCATATATCATATCATCATATCATATTTATATATTATAATTAATAATAATGTCTGAAGAAGGAAAACCAGAAGTTTATACCAACAAAAATGCTGCTCCAAAAATAGCAAATCCTGCTCCTCTTGGTAAATAAAATCAAAAAGTCAAATCTTTTTTTTTTCTTTTTTCTTAAACAATATTATTAATAATGATGATATGATGTTGTCGTTATTATATATATACATATAGGTCTTTCTGCATTCGCTTTGACCACATTTGTACTGTCAGTTCATAATGCTGGTTCTCCCACGATTACTATTCCTAACATTGTGGTTGGTTTAGCCTTATTCTATGGTGGTCTTGTACAACTTTTAGCCGGAATGTGGGAATTTAAAACTGGTAATACCTTTGGTGCCACCGCTTTCTCATCTTACGGTGGTTTTTGGTTATCGTTCGGCGTGATTTTCATTCCTGGTTTCAATATTGTCGCTGCTTATGGTGACAATAAAGCACAATTTGAAACTGCAGGTAAATAATCGAGTAAATTGGGGTGGGAAGAGAGTGAATGAATTGTGAATGAATTGTGAATGAATTAAATAACTTATTTTATTATATTTTATAAATAATTATATAGTTGGAATATATCTTATTGGTTGGACACTTTGTAAGTTGCTGATCTTTATTTTATTTTAAAGCAAAAATTAATAATAATCATCATTAAAACTAAAGAATTTTTATTATTATTATTATTATTAGTCACTTTCCTATTATTCTTGGCTACACTACGTTCAAACGCCGGAATTTGCGCCTTGTTCTTTTTCTTGACCTCAACATTTTTACTTTTAGCACTTGGTAAATTCACTAACGAAACTGTAACAAAAACTGGCGGTATATTCGGTATAGTTACTGCTTTCATTGCTTGGTATTGCGCTCTGGCTGGTCTTTTAACACCTGAAAATTCTTACTTCACTTTACCTGTCGTTGATTTAAGTCGTAAAAATTATTAATTAGATTTTTTTTAAATTAAGTTTTGGATTATTTTCTTTTTTTTAGAATATAATAAATAATAACATTAATGTATATTAATAATAATATAATAATAATACAAACAACTTTATATATAATATAAATAATACCAATAATAAAGTATGAACCTAATTGAAATTATATAACTTTAATTTGTATTTGAATCAAGTTTGTGATGATCTCTAAACAATTTTGTCCACAATCTTCGGCCGATAAATTATTTTTTTTTTCTCATTTCATTCATTACTTAGAATGACAAAGAAAAAAAACCTAATATTCCATTCGTCCCCCAAAAAACCACTATGCTCATAACAAAACAAAAGAAAATAATAATTGAACAAATAACATTGGTAGTAGAAGTGATAATGAACCATTGGTAAATATAAATTTAAGTAGTAATAATAACAACAATTGGGCCTTTTGATCATGAAAGGAAAGGAACTTTGAATGTATTAATTAATAATAATGATTTTTTAAATGATGATTATTAAATATACAGATTTCCGCTATTGAATACATCATCTGATATTTCGGATAATACTATTTTACCTTGTCAAAAAAAAAAAAATTTTTTTTACCAAACCTTTAAGAATTTACTTGGCAATAGCAGCAAGCTCAGTCGATTATTTTCATCAGCTGGGAATTTATTTACAAAAAAAAATAATATTCATAATCTTTTTTTTTAATTTTATCCGACCAAGATTTCTCTACCAGCTGACATCACTACAAAATATCTTGCACAATAATAATAACCACACCAGAAATTTTTTGAGTTCGCGTCATATATTTTTTATTAATGGCATTTTAAGTGGTCAAATTATTGGACAATTTCACATATTTCATCTAAAACATTACTACTTTGCTTTGCCAGATCAACTATATCTAGAACGATAAAAGGCTTTCAGAAAGAAAAAGCATTGAAGAGCTACCAAGAAGTGGACGTCCAAAACTTTGGAGTGTTGATCGAGGAGAATAAAAACTGTTATTGCAAATGATGGACAGCCAACAAATTATTGTTATTAAATATCCTTTTCGAGGATGAAGATATCGACGAAACGTTTCTTATACCTTTAACACCAGTCATCAGGAAAGCTATTTTTTACAAGTATATTATTGACCAAACAGGGATTTGCATAATAATAAAATTTGCATGTCATCTAAAAACGCTAATAGCTGTGCCACAGTCCGAAATTTGTAATTATTGACAGAAAAAAATATTATTAATATAACGCTTTGCTTGATTCGATTAATAATTAATATATAATACTATTCTTTTATATCAAAAGTACAATCTTCGTGTAATTACTATTATGCTGGCCAATCAGAATGATTGAGAATGAACTGAACATTTATAAATACTCTCTCTTTCTCTCTCTATGATAATAAACAAATGGAAACAATGTTTTGTTTATTTCCATCGGTTTACTTTTATCTAACTTTGCTGTTAGAGAATCACACTTTGTTATAATAAGGCTTGGATTTATTGCACAGTTTAATTGATTTTATCCATTTATGCTTGAGATTGTAATTATTGGGTTGCAACTAATGGTGTAGACATGTTGCCAAGCTATAACTCATAATTATGTCATAACTCTTGGAAAGATTTACCATATGATCCATATGATTGTATGTTATAATGCCATATTATTATCATAACTTTCATCTCTTGGAAATATTTGCTATATGTCATATTCCATATGCTGTATTAGTGTTGTAGCCCTCAGGTATTCATATGTTTGCACCCTTGGTTGTAGCAAAAATAATTAAATTGCATCATTTTAAGATTACACATGGAACCTGCAACATTTAATCATAATTATTGAATTTCATATGTCACTGGTTTGACCCCATGCTAATTTTAAAAGCATATTTTTATAACAGTTAATTCGTGATCCATCAATGAAGGAAAGGATTTAATTAATGTCGATCCGGGCAAATTTTTTAAATTTCATAGTAATAATAATTGTAATCGATTTTCGCCCCCATAGAAAGTCTTGCATTTATTATGTTACATAAAAAAAATTTTATATCAACCTATGTAAATCAAAAGTAAAAAACTATATTTACTTACAAATATATG